CTGCGACTCACGGCAGCCCAGCTCCAGGTTGAGCTGTTGTTCAGCATCTTAGCTGTAGAGGGCAGTGTCACTGGCCCTCATATGTGGGATCCGAACCAAGGCCCTCTGGCGTCCCAAGCCAGCTCTTAACCAACGTGTCACTGGGCTGGCCCCTCATTTTAATATTTTTAAACTTCCCATCTTTTCTATTGTTCTATGCCTATTGAGTGAGTTGTTGGTCGTTTGTTTTATTCATTTGTAGTTAAGACAAAATGTGGTGAGTCTTATGGCAAGGCATGCTAGGATGGGGCTAGAAGATTTTTAATACTGCAAATGAAGCATCTTAATGTTTACCATAATCTCACCTCAGAATTTGGGCCAGTTTTCATTTGTATTTTTAAGGGCAAATTAAAGTATAAAAGGGACATATCCCAAGCGGAGTGTGATTATCTCATTTATCACATAAGAGTGTTACTTTCTCTTTTCTTTCTCCTCAGAAACATAGAATCACACACACTGAAAGATATCCAGAAATAACTCACCAGGTGAGTGTCGAGAGTGAAGACGTTTTAGATCTTGTTGAGGTGTCTGAACTGCTAGGACCATATAAGTGGGCAAATACCTAGAAATGGCATTGCCTGAAAGCCAAGACCACTGGTGTAAAGAAGACATTGTACAGCTACTGGAGTGCATGGAGAATAACCTTCCATCCAATGACAGTCACACATTCAAAACAACCCAGTCACAGATGGCCTGGGAAAAAGTGGCTTTTAAAGATTATTCTGGAGAAATGTGCAAACTCAAATGGTTAGAGATTTCTTATAGCTTGAGAAAGATTCGCACTTTGAAGGAATTAGTCCTGGAAGCTAAGGAACGTGTTAAAAATTCCTACAAAAGAAAAAAACGCAAGAAACATCCAGACTTGCCTAAGAAGCCCCTGACATCTTACCTCCGTTTCTTCAAGGAGAAGAGGCTCCAGTGCTCCCAAAAACACCCTGAGCTGAACAACCAGGAGCTGACCAAGGTCCTGTCTAAGGAATACAAGGCGCTCCCAGAGCAGATGAAGCTGAAATATATTCAAGATTTCCAGAAGGAGAAACAGGAGTTTGAGGAGAAATTGGCTCAGTTCAGGAAAGACCACCCTGATGTAGTCCAGAATTCCAAGAAATCTGTCATCTCTAAGAGGAGTCCACCCAAAGCCCAAAAGAAATTTCAGGGAAATGTAAGAGAAGTGAAGTCTCCCCCAGAAAACTATCTTTCTGAGAAGATGGAATTCTCTGGAGAGCCCAAGAAGCCCCCAATGAACGAATACCACAAGTTCTACCAGGATTTGTGGTCAAGCCAGGAGCTGCAAGACTTGCCCCTGAGGGAGCGCATGGTGGAGATTGGCAGACGCTGGCAGCGCGTCCCGCAGAGCCAGAAGGGACAATATAAGAAGCAGGCTGAGGAGCTGCAGGCACAGTACAAGGTGGACCTGGCTCACTGGCTCAGGAGTCTGTCTCCTGAAGAATATGCTGTGTACAGAGAGAGAACCTATACCAAGCGTGAGAACATGAACATGAACGGAGGCCCGCATCCCAAGATCAGACGGACAGACCTGCAGGCTCCATCAGCAAGGAGTCTGCAAGAAGGGCTTGGACAGGAGCAGGGCCTGCAGGCTCCTGAGACAGAATCGTCAGAGGCTATTGGGAGCCATTCTCATTTCTCACAGGGATCAGAAGAAGACAAGGAAGATGGGGGAAAGGTAGAAGGCAGGAGCTCCTTGGACTCCTGCAATGGAGATGAAGATGAAGAAAGTGAGCCTGAGGATGGTGGCTCTGACTCATCTTCCCCAGGGGACACTTATGACTCAGACTCCGACTGAGCTTTGATCACACCCTGAAGGGTGGGGCAGAGAACTTCCCAACAAAAGTATATGGCATCTATGTCACATTGAAGTGCTCTTCTTCTTGTCCCTTTTCCGTTTCCTTATTTTTTTTCTTTCCCTCCTCAAAACAAAAAAGGACTTGTTGCAAAGAAGGGATATTGGGCAGTACTTTCTGGCTCTCCTCCATCCCCCAAATCCCCCCCCCCCATCC